GTGTACGCAAGTGCAGAATACGTTTTCGCGTGCGCGTTTTTATTATAATGGACGTATAAGCTAAAATTATCTAATTATCTATTTCAGTTAATGTTGATGATTGCGTTGTTCCTTAATTTTCGAATTGGATCCGGCTTATTATTTTTTGCAGACTGTAAGAGCAATTTTATAAAAGTAAGCTTAAACTTTCGATTATATCAAATAGAATTTCCGATATATATTTGTTAATATGTAAAGGATCTAAAGCGAAAGTATGTTTTGAAATCTGAAATCTGTTCATCAATCTCACGCTGCTCGGCGGGGGGATCGCCGCGCGGCGGGCGCGTAATGAATTGGAAGTTGATCTGTCAACACTATCTTTATCTTCAGCGCAGATGTTTTTATTTTATTTGGCTTATAATTCCTTACCAAATGTAGTATTTCATCTCGATATGCTCTGTCTTTGATATGATTTAAAACAAGTTCCTCGTCATTATAATTTGCTTTCGATAGCGAAGAAAGTAACAGAGGTTATTGAAAACGAAAAAAATTCGATTGACAAATTAGTCGGTGTTCTCGACACAGCAATTATAGGACTTGAACAGCGTAACTTTGTAACTGAACAAGAAATTATGTCTGTTTAATAGAATTAAAGAGAAAGTATTATCACATGAAACGAAGCAAAAACTTAAAACAACTTACATTGAAAGAAATGTTTAATAAAGTAAACAAATAAATATTAAGCTTTTTCTTTTTGCAAATTTTGATACCCTTTAGATCATAATTGTTCTTTATTTCATAAATTACGGTTTCATATTTTTAATTTTAGAATTTCTGCATGCCATCTTACGAGATTTAAACTGATGATCTATAATCCGGAAAAATCGATAATCCGGAATCGCCGAAGTCCCGACGAGTCCGGATTAACGACTTTTGACTGTATATCCTTTACAATGTCGGATATCGATTCATATGAGTGACTGTGTAGAGAAAGCATCTGTAATTAAAAAAATAAACTAGTTGTTCATATCTTAATCAGTACCTGAGATCTAAACGGTTGATCTTTACATTATGGTAACTAACTTATTAACTTGGCGTTTTTTGGCGAAAATTTGGCGACCAACTCTCCTACAGCAACCCTCTATTTTTTTTTCCCGCCGCCATTTTGTCTTCACGAAGTAAAGACATGTTTCTTTTCTTTTTTATCTACTGAAACACTTCTTCCACCAATCTACTAGCCGAATTACACTTATGCTAGAAATTTTATCTAACAAAACTGCTTAATCATGACAAATATTCACTGCAAAATTGAGGAAAAAGTGCACAATACCATACTCCTTACGCGTTTTTCAAAATAACACATACACATAAACCATGTACACGCCGACTTATTTTTACTTAAAAAAACATCCCAGAATTGCACAAAAATGGCATTGCGCACACTCTTCACTATATCCATGTACACTGCTTTTTTCTCATAAATTAGAAAAATTTCACGAAAATATATGACAATTTTCTCAATCTTTTAAACCCGGTAAAAAGAACATATATGAAATTACCTGATCGCGAAAAAAGTATTTACCCTTTCCAAATATGAACATTTCCACATATAAAAATAAATAAATATCCAAAAACTTTTACCTCTAAATCATCTATTACATTATACACGTCACCAACGAATTCATACCGCAAGCATTACAAATACTTAGTATCAAATATTTAAATTATTTCCATGCACGTTTATTTCAACTTAAAACATATACCAAATTCCTACAAACATAAAATTCACAAAAAATAACTATCATTTAATTAAAATATCACTAAACCATGTACACGTCGACTTATTTTTTACTTAAAAAAACATCCCAGAATTGCACAAAAATGGCATTGCGCACACTCTTCACTATATCCATGCACACTGCTTTTTTCTCATAAATTAGAAAAATTTCACGACGAAAATAAACATGACAATTTTCTCAATCTTTAAACCCGGTAAAAAAAAGAACATATATGAAATTACCTGATCGCGAAAGAAAAAGTATTTACCCTTTACAAATATGAACATTTCCACATATAAAATAAATAAAATATCCAAAAACTTTTACCTCTAAATCATCTATTACATTATACACGTCACCAACGAATTCATACCGCAAGCATTACAAATACTTAGTATCAAATATTTAAATTATTTCCATGCACATTTATTTCAACTTAAACGTATTCCCAAATTCCTACAAACATAAAATTCACAAAATAACTATCATTTAATTAAAATATCACTAAACCATGTACACGTCGACTTATTTTTACTTAAAAAAACATCCCAGAATTGCACAAAAATGGCATTGCGCACACTCTTCACTATATCCATGCACACTGCTTTTTTCTCATAAATTAGAAAAATTTCACGAAAATACATGACAATTTTCTCAATCTTTAAACCCGGTAAAAAGAACATATATGAAATTACCTGATCGCGAAAAAGTAATGAACATAAAATAAATAAAATATCCAAAAAGTTTTACCTCTAAATCATCTATTTCATTATACACGTCACCAACAAATTCATACCGAAACCATTACAAATACTTATTGTCAGATATTTAAATTATTTCCATGCACGTTTACTTCAACTAAAACGTATACCAAATTCCTACAAACATAAAATTCACAAAATAGCTATCATTTAATTAAAATATAATTAAATTCAAAAACACTACTTAAAATATAAATGAGCACATACATTAAATTAATACATACATAAATACCCATTTCGAATTCACTTTAGTTACGGCCATGGGATCCAAAAATTCATGAACACTGTTTCACACAACACAGAATAAAGCCAAATACAAAATTTCCAGATTTCCCCACTTTTCCGATTAAAGAACCATAATTCGTCCATTAATATCACATGGCATATCCCATGATCTCTCATTTCCCTCACACAAAATAATGCGTAATCGGAACTGAGTACTGCTCACATTATTACCAAAGTGCCAGGTAGTAACCTTTATCGCCTCCAAAATGTCGCCAAACTACCAGTTACCATATTGTAAAGATCAACCAGCTAAACATATGAATCCGTTCATGACTTATATTTTAAAGGTAAATGAAAGCTGTCTCATTTATAAATGCCCTTTCATGTGGGGGGGGCTGTCTAAGAAAGTGCAATTAATATTTGGATTCGCAGTTGATCGAGTATCTGAAGCTTCTTATTACTGACAGCTTAGCCCGAGTTTAGTTCTTAACTGCAAAAAATACGGGTGCCTCTGTTTTTTTCTCAGTATGAAACTGTATTCCAAATTATTTCCTTCAATAAAAGTATCCTTTTCTAGGCAGATGTCTGTTAATTAATATTTCTGAAACTGTGAAGAAAAATCATAAAAATTGTCATATTGCCAGAATTGGATTTGAGTCAGTTCTTTAAAACCGCTTCCTAAAATATTTTAAATTTGATAAACTGTATTTGTTAAACTTCTTCGGATTATGGTAATTTGGCGAAACTTTGGCGACCAACCCTGCTACAGCAACCTGCTAGTTGTTTTTTTTTTGGGGGGGGGACACCATTTTGTTTTCACGAAGTAAAGGCAGGTTTTTTTTTTTTTTTAACTCAACATTTTTCCTAACAATCTGCTAGCTGAATTACGGTTATGCTAGAACTTTTCTGAAACAAAAGTGCGTAATCATGATGAAAATTAGGTGCGAAATTGGGAGAAAGTCTAGAATCGCCCACTGCTTGCCGCGTTTTTAAGAATTACATATACACAGTATCCATGTACAGGTCGACCTATTTTCACTTAAAAAAACATCCCAGACTTGCACAAAAATGACATTGCGCACACTCTTGACTTTATCCATGTACACATTGATCTATTTTCACTTGAAAAGTCAAAGAAAATTGACGAAAATCAAATTCTTCTTACTCTTGTAAAAAGAGCCAAACAAATAGGTGGGCGATTCTGCACTTTAGCTTAGCTAAAATCCTGATTGGAATTTTCCGGAAAGTGTCACATTACATGTCTCATTTCTCTGAGACAAAATAATCTGTGATTCAAATTGTATACTTCTCAGATTATTGCTAAAGCCCTAGCTAGTAACCTTTATCACCTTATCAAAATGTCGCCAAACTACCCGTTACCATATTCCAAAGATTAGACCATGAAATCTTAAGTTGCCCCTGGGTGCTGAAAACCCTAACTACAGTTCTGGCAATTGTATTATGTCTTTGAGCATTTAATGTTATATGGAGTTTGTTAATATTATTTTAAGGTAAAAGTATATTTACGGGTATTCCTTGGCAAAAGATCGCTGCTACACGAAGCCAAAATAACAAGTCAAAGAATTACACAAACTTGGTATCCATTGGCTCATTTTCACTTAAAAAAAGGTCACAGAATTCCACAAACTAGGCATTGCACACTTCCTTGACTTGACTTTATCCATGTACACGTGGACCTATTTTCAATTATAAAAACATCAGAGAATTGTACAAACTTGTCACTGCGCACTCCCTTGATTTTGTCCATGTACACATCGATATATTTTCACTTAAAAAGTCAAAAGAGCGCCCAATTCTAGGTAAAAGTATATTTACAGAACGTTCAACTACTTAGGTTACCATAAATGAAACAACTTCGTGATAATACAAGGGGTACCCTTCAGTCTACTCTAACCTATTTTAGTATTAGTATGGTAATAAAAAGTATCAACTTTGCTTGTTATATGTTCTCTTACTATTTTTTAATACAATTGTTTTTTCTAGCTCTCATCTCAATTGAAATAATTGTAGGAGTTGAATAGATATAATTTATATGTTATCTGTATTTTTTAACATTATTGATTATCCATTTTATTTGTGCTTAGTTTTAGTCTATATTTTACGTAATATTTGAATAATTAAATAATATAAATTGTGTAATTACCAAAATGTATGCATTACCGAAATGTAATAATATAATAAAAATTATACTATCTAAATTTTGCCTAAATTTCTTGGATATGTTATGTATATTTAGGAGCATCCTCGACGTCTTATTCCTGAACTATGCAAACAGTTTTATGATCTCGGATGGGTAACTGGAACTGGAGGTGGCATAAGCATCAAACATGGGTATATGAAAAATTAATAAAATGTGTAACAATATTCATTTGTATGTAAGAGTATTTGTGTTATATAGTCTGTAGTTTGAGGGAGGAAGGGGAAACTTATTAATTTTTGCATCAAGAAATATCAAATTTAATCATACCACAAAAGCTATTTCTATATCGTTTTGCTATTAATTTTCTAATAGTTTTCAACAAAATTCAGTAAATTACTGTTAAGATACTGTGGGTATTGGGATATTGGTAGGAATATCCCATTACAGCACACATCCCTTCTTTGTTGTTATATTCTTTATTCCCAGATTTTATAGGAGGGTTTAATTTTATTCCTGTATTCATTTTTTAGGAGGTCATATTTAAGGATCTTAGAATCATTCAAGATTTATTACATCTAGATTTTGGACTTTGTACCGTATAATGAATTTTAAATTTGTCATTTGTGTTGCATTTTAAAACTTAAAATAATTGAGATATATGTTTAAAAATATTGATGATTCCTCACCTTTCATAAAATGGACATTAACAGCTTGGTATATTTTTCATTTATTATAATGTCATATGTTAAAGTTAAGTCTTCATTAAATGATATATAATTTATATTAAATTTACTGTTAACAAAAAAAAAGTTATATGAAATTGTTAGTAAAAGTTTACTCTCAGTGTTTGATTTGTTATTGATTTAATTCTTGTATTGTTATCTCATTACAGCATTATATATGTTTTAAAGCGAATATATTTTTATTGTTTAAATAAATCATTTCACTATTTACTTCCCTCCCTGATTTATACATAAATGTTTTAAAGATAATTTTGTTGCTTTGCATGAGTTTCAGTTAATTCAGAGTTATGCTCTGTTTGTGATTCATTTCCATTCCAGCTTCCAAAATTTTGTTTACCGTGCATTTTATAGCCATCTCAAAATTAATTTTAGTGTATTCCAGTGCCGGATTAAGACTTTTAGAGGGCTCTAAGCATTTAAAAGATTTGGGTGCCCTCATGTATTTATCCTGTTTTTTCTTTGGTCCTTCTTTCTGATTCTTTAATTAACTGTATCATACATTCCATTGTAAAACAAGAACTAGGACATTTTTGTGATGGTTCCATGAGTCGTTTAGAACTTTTTTTGGGGCTTCCCATCATTGATGCTCTGAGTATGTGATTATTTTTCTTAATGTTTAATGTAGCTCTAGTGCATTCAAAATTAGTGAAAAAAATTGCATACATTATTGCAGAAAATGAAAGAAAATAAAAAAAGGTCTTTATTTCTGGATTGTTATTGCCTTTTTTTAGCCTATATCCCCACCCCATGTTGTGTAAAAAATCAGTTATTTTCTCAGTCTTATATACGAGATAGTCTTATATACGAGTTTTGTATACGAGATATACGAGAAGATCAATAGGTTAATCATTCTAAAACAATAGATTAATCATTACCGAAACAATAGGTTAATCATTCTGAATTTTGAACAGTATCTTCACTGCACACTTAATTAACAGCTTCATTTGCATACAGAATATGCAAATGTACTAACAATAATCATTGTGTTTTCATTCCATTTGTTTTAAAATATTTTATTCCTTTTTCATGTCATAATTTTATATGATCTAAGAGTGCATACAATTTTATTTCATAGTTATTGTCATTATTGTAGAATTTAACAAAGAAGTAAAACATGCTGATTACTTAAATGGCATATTTTGCATTTTTATTTTTATTTTTTATCTTGTACATTTCATATCAAATTATAGGATTTTATGTTTGTAAACAAGGGTTTGAATATTTTGGAGGTTCTGGCGGCCTCGCCTAGCAGTTATGTATTGTCACCAGTTCCAGCAAAGTTTTATTCAGACTTTAGCTGTCTTGCTAGCTGATTAATAAATTACTCATTAGCTGATGTTTAAATATGCACTTTTAATTAATTGAGCCAGCTTAAGTAATTTATTTTGTGCATAGTTTCAGACTTTGCTATCTAAATTTGAATTTAACTTAATCTTATGTTATTTTAAATACCTGTAAGTGGTGGAAATTCATTTGTAGCACAACTAAAGCATTCATTTCATTTAAAGAGTTAAATAAGATGATCAATTTAATCTTCATATAACTTTAAAATTACTTCAAATTAAAAGGATAACTTGCATTGCAGTCTGGAAGGGTCTGAAGGATTTTGAGTTAAGCTTCTATACGTAGCAGAACCTTGCAAAATGAATTATCTTCATAATTTATGCAGAATTATCTCCAGTTATTAAACAATTAAATTTCTGACATAATTTCTGGCATTTATAATGTTATGATTTATGTTATATATGATTATCTATAATGCTGTGATTACATTATGATTATCTATAATGTTATGAAATATATTACTATATTACAGTTATCTATGATGCTATGATTTAACATCTATATATGATGTTACTCCGTTTTCATTGAAACATACTTTTATGGCAATTAATTTCACTTTGGGATTAATTAAAGTCTTATTTTTTTATCCTATGATTATAGATCTTTTATTATTATATACAAATATATAGGTAATTTATTTGGAAATTTGGTATTTTAGACAGCTTTCATGTCTTAAAAACAGCATTACAAAGAATATCTTTGCAAATTAAGTAAATAACAAATTCTATAATCTTCATGGCATGTGATCCAATTCTAAAATTGTGGTCAAGTTGAAGTATATAAGTCATATTTGTATTTTTTTTAAAGCTTGAATTTTTTAATGTCAAATATATTCAAACCCTGCTATAACAAACTCCAGGATATAACAAATGAACGTTTTGGTCCTTTCCAATTTCCTTAAAAGCCAAAATGTTTATGGTGCTAGGAGGATGAAAATTAGATGGGCAGTTGATTCTCCCCAAGCATATTATGCTAACATTAAAAACTCCTGATCTTCTAAAGTGAGTAAAAGCTGGCTGTTTGCACTGCTCATTTTGGCTATACATGCCAACCTCAGTGTTGTTTTTTTTTCAGTGCCAATGATTTGTGCATATAGAGGTTGCTTGTCATGGTACCCCAACATATGCAAAATGTTGAAGCCCACAAAAGTGACAGTTGCAGTGCTGCCCCACTCTGTGTGAATTGCAAAGGGGATCATCTGTCTATGCATCGTGTTCCAGTTGGCAAAAAGAAAAAGATGTTCAGTATCTTAAGGTCACCAAAACATCACATAACACAGAAGCTTGCAGACTACTTTTGAATATGCAACTAGCTCTCACTGTATCTTATTCAGAAATGTAAAATCAATAAAATCTGTATCTTCTGACAGTCGTAAGGATCAGTTCAAATTCTCAAGAACATCACATACACAGAAGCTTACAGACTACTTTTGAATATCCAATTAGCCCCCACTGTATCTTATTCAGCATTTGTAAAAATCAATAAAATCTGTATCTTCTCTGACAGTCTTTAAGGGTCAAACCAAATCCTAATATTTACCTTCCATAATCCCCATATATAAAAACCGAATGCCTTCAACTTGAAAGCAAAAGTAGTCTCTGACAGTCTTAAGGGTCAAACTAAATCCTAATATTTACCTTCCATAATCTCCATATTATATAAAAACGGAATGCCTTCAACTTCAAAACAAAAGTAACCTCTGACTCTCTGACAGTCTTAAGGGTCAAACCAAATCCTAATATTTACCTTCCAAAATCCCCATAATATATAAAAACCGAATAACTTCAACTTCAAACAAAAGTAACCTATTATACCTACTTAAAAGAAAGAAACACCAAAGCAAAATATACAACCCATCTCTAGAAAGAAAGTTTCAAAAAAATCTAGGAGTACCTGCAATAATTCTTTAACAGCGTGTATTCTAAGTCACTAGACTCAGGCAATATGGCAATAGAAGAAGGCCTGACTGTTCCCAAAGCACCTGCTTCCCGGGAAGTACAAGAAAAAGCACTGAAGAAATAAAAATTCCTGATTGCCATCCAGCGTCCATCACGGTCTTGATAACTTTAAAGGACTGATCACCAGAGCCGACCCTAACGGGGAGCAAAGTGATGCACAGCACATGGGCGGCCGAATTTAGTGATGGCAAAATGATTATCAAACATAGTATATTTCTGTAAAAAAAGGGTGGCTAATGCTCTAGGATCGGCACTGCTGATCATTGCCTACTGTCCGCAAAATTTGGCATTGCTGGAAACTCTCCTAAAGCCAGATCATGCTTGTGAAGCTTAGAAGGTACTCAGTAGTAAGGATGAGTGGGTGAGTGAGTGCACCGCTAAGATGGCTTCCGACCACGGACATGAACCAAACGGAATTATATACCATCACGGCGGGGAAGACTCCAGATTAACAAGGTTGAATATTAAAATACTAATAACAGTTTTTGCATATTGATAACTGCTAGGCACTAAGCCTTATTCTGGTTGTCTCCTTTAAGTTCTGAACATTTGAAACATTATAATATTATCCACGGTTGTTTCTGCTTAGGCAGTGTCTTTCTCTATTTTATCAAGGGCTATTCTGTTTTTGAGTGTTTTCTCTATTTTATCAAGGGCTATTTTGTGTTTGAGTGTGTTAGTCGTCCACATTGCCCAGGCACAGTCCGCTGGTTTCTTCAAGTGCCAGGTTCTTGTATGTAAACAATGGAAGTAATAATGGTCCGTGTCGCCTTCCTCTCCGCATTCGCAGAAAGGAGTATCCCCAAGTCTGAATCTGTTCAGGTATACTGGGAATGATCCATAACCTGTCAAGAACTGTGTTAGGCTAGCACAGTGGGTCTTTATTTCCATGTTAACTTTTGGCGGTAAGCCAAATGTCCTTCGTCCTACCTCTGCCTCTGTCCATCTACTTTGCCAATTTTTGTAGCAGACTTGTCAAAGTTGTTCGCTTAATATGAGACCAAGGAAGTTTAGTTGGTCTTTCTAATATATCCGTGCAGTTGGCTGCCTGCTTGGCCAGTAGGTCAGCGGCTTCATTGCCTTGAATCCCTGTGTGAGCGGGAACCCATTTTAAAGTGGGTCTTTGTGAAATAGGCATTGTCAGAA